AAGGCAAAAGTGATGGAATACCCAATGCTGAAGCAACTACAGCAAATGCTCGAGCTGTAGTATTACGCACGTATTCATCAATATTATCAATATCAGGTCTCATAGTAGATATCATAGTGGCCAAACCAGCTGCTTTAGCTAAATTTGAAATAATTTCACGCCCTTCGACACGAGCATAGTAATCTTCATCGATTAAAAGTGGTTCGATAACAACCAATATCTAAGAGAAAAATTAACACTTATCATTGTATCTAGTATTTTATTTCCACTAGCAGATATATTTCATATTTTAATTGAATAAAGTTGTATAAGTACTTAATTTTAAGAAGTTTTTGGGTAGGTAAAACATGATTTTAGCATAATCAACAATTTTAGCAGATTTAATTTTTATTGTTTAAGTTATAATAGAGTGTTGCTATAGTAGGATGACTTTGTTAAAAATACATCAAAATAGTGATAACACCTGATCTGCARTGAGAAGTGGTGACAGACTATAGAAATAATTGGAGAAGAATATTTAAAAAAATTTAAAACTATGGATTTTATGACCAAAAACTAACAGAAGTAGAAGAATGATTTAATYATGTCTTCTAAATAGAACCACAAAAAATGAATTCTGTTTAATGAAGAATATGATTAAGTAGTTTTGTATTTAAAGTTCAAACACTGAACACTAATTATAAYAATTCAACCATTTGATTCTACAAAAGTAAAAATGTGAAACTTAACTGTCTTTTCACAGTGCTTATGCAACTYTAAAAATTATTATAGTATTAATTTAATGACTTACTTTATGAACATATGGTCTGACCAAGTCATCAAGTTTATACAAAATTCTATCAATAACTTTAACCAACAAATGTCGCTCTTGGTCTTCAAGTGTAGGAGACATTAGTAAAGGCAAAATTTGATTAAATAATGGACCAGCACCCAACTCTCTTGCCTTATCTGTAACTTGCCTTAAGGCAGCTTTTCTCATTGGCGGTGTACCATTTTTAATTTTCAAAAGCAATTTCATAATTTTCCTTTCTTTTTGTTCCTCTAATGTTAAGCTTTCTTCATCGACATCCATCAACAGTTTATCGAAATACTGGGCATCTTCAGGTTTTAGCATGGGGAGATTACCAGGTGGTTGATTRTCAACTATTTGTGATTTAGATGGACGGTCAACAGATTCTTGCATGAAAAACCCTGTTGGTGTGCCAGCTATTGGTGTTGGTGTAGCAGTTAATTTACGAGCTGGAGTTCGGATTGGTATGTATCCAGCAGGGGGTTGAAGTACTTTATAACCAGGCGGAAACATTGCATCTAACTCATCATCAGTCAATGGGCGGTTGCGCTCATCAATTTCACGTTCCCATCTATAAGCTTGTAATTGTTCAGGGGTCATTGACAACAAATGACCTAAACAAATAATTAAATATAGATTAAAATAGATTTTAATATTGCATAACTATAGTTTTTGTATTTACCTGGAGTTGGTGTCGCCATGCCCATCGCAGTATGTCCAATTGGTGTAGCAGCACTATTTGAAAGTACAGGAGTACGAGGTACCATGGGGGTCATAGGAGTAGCACCAGGTGTCATACCACCAGGTGTAGGTGTCATTGAAGCTCCAGATGGTGTAACTCCTACTTTTGGAGTAGCTGCTCCAGGTGTAAGACTACCAGGTGTAGCTGATGGAGTCATTTGTGAAGGTGTTTCATCCCAACGAGAACGTCTTTTACTAGCTGATGGTGTTGGAGTATCTTGAATTAAATCAATACCTCCACGATCTGTACGAGGAGTTTCAGCCCATCCACTATTATGGCCAGGTGTAGCTAAAAAATGATAAATTAAAAAAAATGTTATTTAATTAACATTAATAATTTAAAAATACCTCTTTCTGTTTTAGGAGTTTCRTCCCAACGATTTCTTCGAACTGATGTCTGCGAGGCTCCTATATGACCTGGAGTATCACGACCTGGTGTTGCAGCTCCTGCAGCTGGAGTAGTGTGTCCTGGTGTTGCATCCCACATTCTAGTGCTTTGRCCAGGAGTAGCACCTGGTGTTTCTGCTCCCATTTTAGTAGCTCCAGGAGTTTCATCCCAACGTGATAAGCCTCCTTTAGGTGTCTATAATTAATAAATTGAGATTTCATTAGTAAAATTATACATTCCTAGTTGAGGTAAATAATAATAATAGTAATACATATCAAGCTATGGTTTATTTTTTTCTAAACAGTTAGTGAATTAATGTAGGTACTTACTTCTTCCCAAGGAGTAGAATTGGTTTTCTTTTTAGCAGGAACTCCTGAAGAGTCACCATTTTGCACAACTTGATCCCATCGTCCTCTTTTCCTGACCGTACCTTTAGAGTCTCCATTAGTTTTAAGATTACCATCTTTAGCTTTATCTATAATTGTTTTCCGTACTTCACTCTCTTCACCCTTTAACTTTTGTTCTTGCATAATTTGTGAATATGTTCTGGACCCAACATCTGGAGTTTTCCCACCTGATTAAGAAAAATAGTTTTTTATGTGAAAAAATTGTATTTGCACAGTTGCTAAAATTTTATAAAGTAATAAAATAAAATATGATAGTTCAGTTTAAATAAAACAACAAATTAATATTACCTTCAGCAAATGGATCAATACGTTCTGGCGATATAACCATAGGCCTTCGAACTTGACGAGTATCGTCATCTTTGTCTGATGTTGCTTTTTGAAGTCGCTTCCTTTCAGCAAATGGATCATAATCATCTTCATCATCTCTAGCCTAATATAAATATGAAATATTTAAAATTAACTTATGCAAGGTGATTACAAATAATAAAACGTTAAAGAATAAGAGTTTCACTAAATTACCTGTGCAATTTCTTTAAGAGCAGCTGCTGGTGCTGTTATAGGCTTTTTATTTCTATAATGTTGATCATCAATATCTTCATCCTAAAATATAAAATATGATAATATGAGCTGATACTAAAAAATTAATATTTTATATTTATTAATGTAATACCTAAATAATTTATAAAATATATAAGCTTAAGAGATGTCTACATTTACTATCTAGTTATTTTATTTAAGATAAATTAGCATTAATGAAAGTTGCCAATGATCCAAAACAACAAAAACTTTGTTTTCCTATCAAAAAGTTTCCGGTTGTGTAGGAGTTATTCATTGAAGATTTGAATTATTTTTCAAAAAATTGGATGTTATTTGTAAAGTTAATTTGTTATTGTTTTCTACATAACTTAGTTTCCTAATTTACATACAGAGATAGGTACAAATATTCTCTTTATTTAAATAAGTTTTGGATAAATTTTCATTGTTAAATTTGTTAAAAATGTAAAAATTGCTTGAAAGTGCATGATGGATTTCAAATTCTTGTAGGTCCTAATTTTTATGTATATCCACAGGAACAAGTTTGCACACATCTATGAGTAAGATAGGTATCAAACGAGGTTACATACAATTTTGGCAACATATTTTATACTTAAATAATTATGATTTGTGAAGTTATCATCTATAAAGCAAAATTGGTGGTGAGAGGTAAAATGATATCATGCCCCCACCCCCCAAAAATAAAATAAAAAATAAATTCTAAATATTTCACTAACCCATTTGCAAGCATATTATAAGTAAGTAACCTAGAAGATAATACGACACTTACCACTCAATCACAACTCATTTTTAACACTGAATTAAATAATTTAATACATATTATATATTAAAATACTTTTGCAGAGGATTTGAATAAATGTATCTGTTGTAATTTATATTTAATTTAGAACATAATCAAGTTATATTATACCATTAGTTGAAACAATTTAATGAAATAATGACAAGAGATAAGAAGAATTATAATTAATGGGTAATAAACAAGGTACCTAATTACTTGACAATTTTTTTTATGWAGAAATGTRTAGTCTAGTATTACAATTATATTGTCTAATCAACTTAATTTCATTTTAATATGTTCCAATCGAGGTTCCAATTATATATACCTAATTCCAATCAGTTAAGACTTGACTTTGTCGACAAGTAATTTATTSAGTACTTAGCTATAGACAAAACTGCAAATTATCTATTGTGATATGTTAAGAATAAAAACTAATAACAATAATCCCTCAGTTGATMGCAAAAACTACTACATAATGTAGGCTGACGGCAGTCAGTCACAATGTTACACCGATATATGTGCTTATATCTTGCATATTGGAATTACATGGGATACAAAATTATACTTGATCTTGCTTGTAGAGTCGTTTGAGTACTCACATCGTATTCGTCGTTGGGGGCTATAGACGTAACATAACCCTCGAACTTCCCTCCACCATTATAGATGTCTTGGTCAAAAAATCCGGAAGCCCCGAGTCCAACGTCGCTGTCATCCTCTTTCTGTTTCTCATCTTTTTTGCGCTGCTGAATCTCGCGTATTTGCGCCTCAATATCGGCGTGCGTGGTCATGGTAAACGGCCGTCGTCAATAGATTTATCGTCGGTTCCCGGTTTTTTATTATTATTATTATTATTATTATTTTTATTCGTTGTACGTACCCTCTTAATATCCTACTCGGTAAGACAACAACGAACACGTTTAGATTCGTAACTCTCAGCAGTTCAGAAACCGAACGATATTATAGTAAAATATTAATGCGTTTTATTATAATAAATATTAAAAATATCTAATATAATAATGAATAATGTATTATATTATTAAAATTGTAGTGTAAAAGCACGAAAACGAACCAAAACGTGATTGACCAAACAATAATCGATGATACTTGATGGGCTGGCCAACCATCCGTAGGGTTGGCAGCGCCGGATCAATAATTATTATCTATGTCCATGATTATAAGACCMATTATCACATCGAGAATCATGATAAGAAAAAATAAAAAAGCTTAGATCATTTATACGTATTTCAGTATTTGTAAATTTTATGTTCAATAATAATGTATATTGTATTAGGTATAAAACAAGGTGTATTGATATTGTATTTACTATTTTGATCTCGGATAATAATATAATACGTAATCTTCTATATTAAATATTATATATTATATACTTATTCTATTTATGATTTATGATTCAAAGTTCCAATACACATTAGTACCATGATTCGTGGTGATCACAAAATAGTGATGATTGGTGATAAATGATAACGAATAAGAATGATTTAATATTTATTTTTATTATTTAATGCCTACAATTATAGTCAACAATACCATGTTACAAGTTAAAGTAGAACACAAGTTATTGGACGTCAAGAAATATTAGTTGAAATACCAAATATTTTGCTGCAAATTGCCATGAACAAGATCGATCATAATTTTTATATAATAACAATGTCTATATTTCATTAATAATATATACATTCCGTTGTTCCATAAGTCTTGCTAACAYAACAGATTMTCTGACAGAATTTTTTGGCCCACAGTTTCTTCAGTTAKTTAGTTATATACAGTTATTATTTTCTAAATTCAAACCGTCACCTACACATTATTACGAAAATGGATGATTTATTTGTAAGTTATTGACTTGTGATCCGCAGTATATTTAAACTTAATTCTCCAGATACTTCTTTGATGCTAACAGCATAATATTTGTTTTGCAGGCATTATCCAAAACGGTGTGCAAAGGTGTTATGGACAGTTTCAAAGGTATTACTGTGCTGTTCTTCCAAAACAAGCGGTCAAAGAAAGTTAGCAGATCAGTAACCTCACCAAAGTACGTAAAAGAAATAATAATTATGAAAAACACTATTTAGTACTTACTAAAATCCAATTAGGGTTTTTTGTAAAGATTTCTCATTATCTAATTCCCTGATAAACCTTTCACAATTTTGAGAAGCACTTAAATATTATTGTGCTATAAATTTRATTACAGTGTATTATTTAACAAATTAATACTGTCTTAATTAGCTAAACCCGGTTGCTCAAACTGCATCGCCAAAACACTCTTTGTATTAAGAACTGTTACTTATTGAATAAAGCAAAGTTGAATGTTTATTCATGTAGTTATTTAGTTTTCGCTAAATTATAAATTATTGGTCATATCTAAAATGTATTATTCATCTGGAATTTGAAATAAATAATTATTTTTATATTAATGAACCTTTCAAAATGAATATATTATATAAATTAGAATAATGAATAATAATTTATAAAATTTGTATTATATAATAATTATGATGTATCATTTAATAAATAAATAAAATTAATCTTAAATGTGTTGCTTATCTATTTTTCAGAGATCAAAAAATGTTACAACGAATAATTCAATGTTGTACACTGAATGGTGGCATATTTTGTTTGAGCATAGTTATTTTTGAATATGTTATTCTACCTTCTTTAGGCTCTATAATGTCAATTACATTTGGAAATTTTAATGAAAACATTTGGTTATGGACCCGATCACTGTTGTCATGGACATTTGGAGCTGTGTGGGTCTTACCAATATTTTTGCTCAGCAAAATAATTAATAGTCTATGGTTTCAAGTAATATATATTTATATATTAGCATCCAATTAATTCTATACTTGGTTATAGTTATACTTAACTATAATAATATAGGGTTTGTTTAGGATATCGCAGACATAGCGTATAAACAAAAAAAAGGTGATCCACAACAGTTGACACGGATTAGTAAAGTGATAGCAGATTTTTCATTCAGTATAGTTGTCCAGTTCTTATTTCTCATTCAAGTAGGTCTATATTTTTATTCAAGCTCTTATCTTTTGAATAATGTTTATTTTAGAGTTATTTAGTAAGTATGGTGCCATCAACAGTCTTAAGCAATATTCTCAGTATTTTGCATTTATCGTTACTTTATTCACTCTACTCATTTGAATATAAATGGTGCAATATGGGTATGGAGCTAAACTCAAGATTATCCATTATTGAAAACTGTTGGCCATATTTCCTTGGTTTTGGTCTTCCGCTAGCTGTTATCACATCWTTGCCAGAATCATATATTATTAGGTATAATAGTTCATTAATTTTATTTTCTAAAATTATTTATTATTTTACTTAATATTTTTTTATTTTATTTTCCAGTGGTTGTCTGTTTTCAATTCTATTTCCTGTATTTATAATCAGTGCTAATGAAGTCAGTCCATCTAAAATCCAAATATTTAGGTAGAAGTAGTTTTTATTAATATAAAATAGTTAATATACTTTTAATACAATCCTATTATTAAATGTTACTTATACTGTTTCTTTACTTTAAGACTGAAACTATTCGCACCAGTTCTATCTATAACTAGTACCATATTCAATCGCTCCATTGGTCCAGCAATAAAATCTTCAATAAATACTGCATCTAAAGCTCAAAAAATGCATAAATGAATAGACATAGTTATGTTTATATATATATATATATATATATATATGTTTATACTTTTTTAATTTACAATTTTTGTGGAAACAAATGATTTTTAACATTTGAGGCTGTGTAACTAAAAATGTACTAAAATGTAAATGGTTTATATATAATTTATATATATATATATACTCTATGCTCTGGGAAATATACTTGTGCTCTTTTTATTTGTGAATAAATTTATTTGAAATTTAAGTTAACGCTTAAGAATCGTAACTAACAGACTTATTATCTTTATATAATATTTTGTTTATATTGTTTATATATAACTAATGAAATAAAATAAACATTTATATATGGTATTATATTGCATACATTTTTTTATACCTCACAAAAATATATTTTTACTGATTCATATCATACAATGTTGAAAAATGTAAATTATGTTTCCAATAGCTTTATAAATAAGAAGACACTCATTAAGAATAATTTGTTTAAGATTAAAAGGTTAGATAGAAAAATATAAAAAAAAAAAACATCACATCACTTTATTTTAAGTCTAAGACAAGAGTCAAAAATGTCCAGGCAGTACAGTGATATTTGTAAGTGTATTGTTGTGGTCACATACTCCACAAAAATAATTGTTTATAAAAACGTAATTACTGCTTAAATTTCAATTGAATAAACTGTTAAGTTAGAGATAATGAGTAGAGCATTTGTTATTTTGAAATTTTAAATACCTCAAATATTGTTTAAGTTCGATTTTTAGGTGACCCCTATAGTTGTATCACCTTCAATGTTGGTTTAGAGTGTCTTATAAATTAGGAGTATAGCTTTTAAACTAATAGATTCTTGTCAAAAATATTTTAGATTGGGAGAGAACTAAAGGAGCAAAGAATATATTTATTTTAGAGTGATGTGTCATKTGTATCAAGTAAACTAGTATTCAACATATTAATAAATATAGGTCTGATTGGACACCTCTAAATCCCAATAAAATCATTATAAACGACTAAAAGAGATAATCCGCATTATACAATCACAGATTAAAAAAGCAATGCATATTTGTAATGGTTAAACGTAACCGTGTGCCTTTCTTATATGCCACCAGATGGATGGTCATGGCCCWAAAATGTCAAAGAGAAAACTAGTTCTTTTGAAAGCTCAAAAATTCTGATAAAA